TATTAGTTTTTCCTTTATCATTTCTTGCTATGTACCTGCATTGTGAGGCATGATGGCCTAGTTTTCCACAAACAAAACAAGAGCCTTTTTTTCTTTTAAGGTTAAGATTTTTAGACTTGTAACCTTGAGACTTATTCTCGTACCTTTTGCGGTTGTTGCTGCTGCTTTGCACTAAATTTCCTTTAAGAGTTGTCGTCCTAGCTTTGGAAGATTCTTTTCTGTTGGAATCTTCAATTAGGATGCGGGTCACAATTTCCTCAATGGTGAAATTTTTTCGTTTGTGCTTTAAGTTATTTTTGTAATCACTCCATGAGTGAGGCAGCTTCTCAATCAGTACTCCAGCAGCAAACTTTTCTGGTAATGACATCCCCTCGACGTTCAAGTCTTCTAGAAATTTTTGATATTCGTTAATTTGCACGTTCATCTCTTTATCATCTCTCATCTGCCATTGATAAAATTTTCCTGCTACAAATTTTATTTTTGTAGCATCTTCAGTAGTGAATTTTTTAATTAAGGCTTCTCAGATGGCTTTTGCTTTCTTATAACTGCAATACACGTCAAACAGTTCATTAAAAATAGTTTGCAATATGGTATGACGGCATACCTTGTTGGCATGTTGCCATGATTCTACTATTTTATTATCAGCGTCTGCACTAGGTTATGGATGCAACAGTGCATGTGCAATACCATGGATATCAAGCAGTGAGAAAATACATTCTCTCCAACGCGTGAAATTTTCATTGGCGAAAATTTAAATATTTGATACGTCTGGAAATGGCATGGCATATGGCAGTGCAAATGGGTCTAGAACAGTAGAGGTAGCGCCAATATTGGTAGTATCAGTAGTATTTTCAGCATCAGTATTGTTTTCCATAGTTTCTTAGATTGTAGGAAGTGAGAGCAAAAATTTCAATAATAACACTGCTATAATATTCTTTGTAAGCGAATACACGGGTTGACTTGAGTCGTACTAGACACTGTCCTAAGAAACTATTTCAGCGGTATGAAATGTCTCCCCATGATTAAACAAGTCTACCTCTATTTAAGAGGATACAGGAATCAACAAAATATAAAATTATAAATCCAGCTAGTAGAAAGAAAAAGGAAGAACAACTCGTGTGTAATGCTAATTAAATATTATAGAAAAGGAATTAGAAGGAAGAAGAGGGACGTATGAGAAGATTTTTGATAATTAGAATGAATGGCTAATGAAGGCTATTTATAGCCATAAGTGCATGTTTTTATCCTTGTGAATGATTGCAACGTGGCTATCTTCATTTGCCACTTCTCCAAAGGAATGTGCCATTTATCTGAAGGCTTAAAGGTTGGCTGCCACATTTTGGTAGCAAGACCACTTGTATTTTACTTTTTCATGCAATGACATTTGTCAAACAATTATATATAAATCCTTTTAAAATACTAATACAATTTGGCTGACATGTCATTCTAGCTGCTCTAATTGTATTGCCAACAACATGGCTAAAAAGCTTAGGATTATTAGTGTATGTTTATGCTAGAAGAGTTTTATCCTCTATTATTTTAGTCGGTTTGGTGTTTTGGATTGGTGCAGTAGATGATGTAGGTTTTCAAGAGAACATTACTCTTTAGAGATAGAATGGGTTGGGAACTGCAGTAAGTATACTTCCCTTTAGCTATTGTGGTTTGACCTTGTGACTCTTGTATTGACTTAGACAATCATCGAGTGGTTTAGTAGAACCATAGTGATTTTCAATCTTGAATATGGTCGTTGTGGGCCCTCGACTCTATCCTCTTTAACAATGCAGCTGCGTGAGAGGTGAGATGTTGTTAGTGCAAGTCCAAGTACCCGTACAAATAGTCTAGAACTTGTCCCGAATATGTTTCTAGGCAAAATTTTAAGTTTTGCTTCGCTTGAGAAGTGATTGTAGGCTCTTCTTGACCCGTTTGATAATTTTTCATGGCCCACCAATATTTTTATCCCTAGTCAACCCAATTGAGCGTAATATCTTTCTCATTTGATCACCATGTTACAAGTCTTTACCCGTTTTGTTGTGACCCTCTCTTGACACCCGAGCTTACCTTAATACTCTTGTGAAACAATTGGCTAAAAACGTAAGTTTGGGGAAGAGACGAGGAGTTTGAAAAAAAAGTATCAAGGCAAAAGAAAAAAGAAATGAAGAGAAGGAAAGGCAAGAAAATGAAAGAACAAAAAGAAAAATGCAATGAAAGTGAATAAGTTGAAAAGTTGAAGAGATTCAAAGAAAAGTAATGATGCAAAGTATGAAAAAAGTAAAGAAGGAGAAAATGAATAACATGGCCAAGAAAGAGTAATATTAAGTCTCTCTAGTTCCCTTAAGGAAAAGAAAATACTTCAAAGAGTTGGCAAAAGCATGAGCCGATAAAAAAAATGGAGTGCTTAAGGAAAGATGAACCCGTTCTATCATAGCTTATCCAACCTTATTCCAAAAGCCTTCATTGCATCCCGAAAAAGTCCTACGTGATTTCAAGCCGAGTAAGCTTATATTAGTGGTGATTCACACGAGGGGCAAGCCTATGGTACTTAAAGACGTAATTGCGATATTCTTTTGAGAGAGATGAGTGAACTTTACACAAACTTGTGAATTAAGTGTTATATTATTAACTGAGATAGGCAAAACAAGAGTAGAGGAGGAGGAGTTTGGGATCCACAATGACCTACATAAAAAAGCGAGCTTCCTTGATAAATAAAGTCAACTCTTGATGCTTAAGGTCACATTAGAACTATTCGTGCTTAAAAGTTTAACTTGTTGCCTTGTTGATAATTCATAAGTGTCGTGGATAATTGTTGGTCCCAATTGATGTGTGATTGATTCACCTTTGATTAGCTGGAATGGCTCTTAACTTGTGGAGGTAGAAATTACCTCATTTGCTTGAGGACAAGCAAAAGCTTAAGTTTGGGGGAGTTGATAAGTGGGGATTTTGACTACTTATTAGCGCCTTTTACTTTCGTTTTAGTCCAAAAGCGCTTAATTATGTTCCCGAAAACTTATAAAATATGCTTAATTGCAGGAATATTGGAAGATGAGCTCCAAAGATGAAATCCACTTCAAGAAGGAGTAATCTGAACTTAAGAACAAAAACAGCACAAAAGCTCAAAGTGCGGTCCGCAGAATACCATCTGCGGCCGTATGTCATGAAGCAATTCCATCAGAGAAGATTGCAAAATGTGGACCGCACATGAAATTGTGCGGTCGCAAAAACTGGGTAAAAACCAAAGTTCAGAGAACCTGCATCTCAAGTTCAACAAGAGTGCAGACCGTACAATTATTGTGCGGCCGCAACCAGATTTGTGCGGACCACAGAAGAACATGGTGTGGCCGCAAACATATTTGTGATGTCCGCAGAAACAGAGAAGTGCGGTCGCAGTTCAGAATTGTGCGGCCGCAGGTTTCAAATTCTATCAGGCAGAAGCAAAGTGCTCCGCACATGGAATTGTGCGGCCACAGAACCTCCGAAAGGGCATTTTTATCCGAAAATTTCAGCACTGTATAAATAGAAGAGTTTCACTTTTTAGGTTAATTTTTTGACATCAACAGCCACACTAGATAGTTTCTTTTGCTCTTTTTAGTAGTTTTTGCTATTTTGAGCATTTTGAATATAAATTTCATCATTTTAATTATCAATATGGGTTTAATTATCACTTCTTCTTCTTTTTGTTCCAATTTAAGTATGAGTAGCTAGATTTTTACTAGGGTTGTGACCTAACCCTAGTGTGTAAACTTAATGGGTGTTTGATTTATTGCTTGTTTATGGTTGGGTGTTGATTATCTAGCCTAGTTCTTGCTTGTATGTGAAGAATTAATGGTTGCAAATATTATTTCATGTCTATTTGACTTGGTCTCTACTTGAGAAAGAGAGACTTAGTCTAGGAAAAATTGGCTAGCAAGAAATTGGGTCAATCGAGAGATTGATAAGCCCAATTAAAGGGTTGAACCTAGAGATAGTAAAACCCGACTTGAGCTTATTATCAATTATTTTGTTCAATACCCAATTGGACTTGAGAAAGACAAATTGGGCAAAATCACTCTCTGACCGAGAGGTAATGAGTGGGTACTTGAGTGTTGATACCTATAATACACCCCGACCAATAAAACAAGCTTTAAAGTTTATAACCCACCAGACAAACACCTAGGTAAAGGTCATAGCCCTAGGCCTTTTATATTATTTGAAAAACAACCAAAAACAATTTTCTAGTTTCATTTTTTAATCGTAATCGTAGTTTAATTTTGATTTTCAAACAAAAGCAATTATTGCAGAAGTGCAAATTTAGATATACAAACTCACGCGCTAAGATATATACTACTAACACCCATTCACATAGCTCGCTGCGGAATTCGAGCTCGACTCTTGTTGGGTATTACTATTGCATCGATCGTTTTTATATCCTCAAATAAAGGAGTGAAATTGGATACGATCACACACCATAGATGATAGAAGAGCAATGTGGAATGAATTAAATGCAATTGCCATATAACAACAAGAGCCCTGGATAGTTATTGGGGACTTCAACTCAATCAGAGGTAGTGAAGATAGAATCCTGGGAAATCCTGTGCAAGAAGCTAAGGTAGAAGGCTTTAACAACTTTATGAAGAAGGTACATCTGGACCAACACCCACATTCACAGCAAAATTGACTTGGCCATTGTTAATAGTGAATTGTTAATCAAGTTGGCACACTTAGAAGCAGCAGCCATGGACCCTTTATTCTCAGATCATACACCATTTGCTATTGAAATTGAGTGACCTACATGAAGAAGTACAAGGCCCTTCAGATTTTTCAATCACTTAACTCAACACCAAGATTTCCTATACCTAGTTGCACAATGTTGGAATACATCAAATAACAAGACAGGAATGCAAGGTATACGATTAAAGCTCTAGCAGGTCAAACAAGCAAAGAAATGGCTTAATGCCAAACAATTTCCCAAGGTTGATGAAAAGGTAAAGCAAGTTAGGCAGCAATTGATGGACCTTCAAACAAAAATGAGAGATCCTATGCATCACCACTCTCTTTTTGAACAAGAAAGGGGGTTGAAACTACAACTAGAGAAGTGGGTACTAGTAGAGGAGAGCATGCTCAAGCAGAAGTCTAGAGTCCAATGGCTCAAACTTGGGGATGCTAACAATGCTTACTTCTTTGCAAGCATGAAGAACAGAATAGTACATAACCAGATAAGGAGATTAGAAACTGCTGAGGGGCACACTATTATAAATCACAAGGACATTGAGGCAGAAGTCACTCATTTTTGCCACAGGTTACTTGGATTATCGACCACAAAGATCTATGTGGTTCAGCAAGATGTTATGGAGGAAGGTTGTAAACTAACGAGGGCCCAACAACTACAATTAATAGGCCTTGTTAGCAAAGAGGAAATCAGTAATGCATTAAAAGAAATTAATGACCAAAAAGCTCCTAGATATGATGGATTCAACTCTCTTTTCTTCAAAAAGAGCTGGTGCATAGTCGGGGAGGAAATCACATGTGCAATCCAAAACTTCTTTGATACAACAACAATATTTAAGCCAATCAACTATACATCAGTGACTTTGATTCCAAAAGTCAAGAACCCACGGCAGGTCAAGGAATTTAGACCCATCTCGTGCTGCACAGTGTAACGACCCGACCGGTCGTTTCGAGAGTTATAGCCCTATTTTTCCCATTTTTACTTCTTTTTGTGTTATTCAGCTATATTATATTATATCGGGTTAGTTGGTTCGGGACCGGAGTAGTTTCAGAGTAATTGAGATACTTAGTCTCTTAAGTAGAAACATAAGTTGGAAAAGTCAACCAGATATCGACCTATGTGTAAACGATCTCGGATTTGAATTCTGATGATTCCGTTAGCTCCGTTAGGTGATTTTGGACTTAGGAGTACGTTCGGAATGTGATTTGGAGATCCATGGTAGAATTAGGCTTGAATTGGCGAAATTGGAAATTTGGCGATTTCGGTCGGCAGTGGAAAAATTTGATATAGAGGTCGGAATGAAATTTCGGAAGTTGGAATAGGTTCGTAGTGTCATTTGTGATGTTTGTGCAAAATTTGAGGGCATTCGGACGTGGTTTGGTTGGTTTCGGTATCGGTTGGCAAATTTTGGAAGTTTAGAAGTTCTTAGGCTTGAATTCGAGGTTGTTTGATGATTTGATGTTGTTTTGAGTGATTCGAAGGTTCGAATAAGTTGATATGTTAATATATGATTTGTTGGTATTTTTGGTTGAGGTCCTGAGGGCCTCGGGGTGAATCCGGGTGGTTAACGGATTTGTCGAAGTTGAGAAATGCAGCTGGAAGCTGCTGGTGTGGCCGCACCTGCGGATGGTGAGCCGCAGGTGCGGATGGCATGTCACAGATGCGAGAAATGGAGGCCTAGCATTGAGCGCAGGTGCGGAAGAGAGGATCGCACCTACGAGCCCGCAGGTGCGAAGGGGCAGCCGCAGGTGCGAAGCTTGGCGTCTAAGTGACTTTCGCAGGTGCACACCTGGGACCGTAGATGCGAGTCCGCAGGTGCGAGAAAGGTGTTCGCAGGTGCGGAAGCTGGGGAATTAAGTGAGTTGCGCAGGATTGGACCGCAGGTGCGGTCGCACGGGTGCGAGAAAGATGGCCGAAGGTGCGAGAAGCCTGGGCAGAGGGTACATATTGCACACTTCGCGAATTTTGGTGCATTCTTCAGCATTTCTATTCGGTTTTGGAGCTTTTGGGAGAGATTTGAAGAGGGAATCAAGGGGGTTTCGTTGAGGTAAGTTACTTGAGCCCTAATACTTGTATATATGGTGATTCTCCGTTGTTTAATCATTGTAATTAGTGAAAGTGAGGGGTTGGGCTTGGAATTTTCAAGAGATTAATTTAAGGATTTGAGAGACCAAACAATGTCGGATTTTGATGAATTTAGTATGGTTAGACTCGTGAGTGAATGAGCTTTCTAGTTTTGTAAATTTTGTCGGATTTCGCGATATGGGCCCAGGAGCCGGGTTTGAGCCAATTTCGGATTTTGGTCTAATTTGATAGTTTTTCTTGTGGAATTCATTCCATTAGCGTATATTGATGGTATTGTCCTAATTGTGAATAGATTTAGAGCATTTGAAGACCAAGTCCCGGAGTAAAATTTTATGTTGTTAAGGTAAGTAACAGTTTTAACTCTGGTTTTGAGGGTATAAACTTGGAGAATTTGATATCGTGTGACTGTTTGGAAGTGATACCCACGCTAGGTGACAAGCGTGTGGGTGTGCATCACGAGGGATTGAGACTTGGTCCGTCCCGTGAGGCCTAATGGCTATTATCTTTGGTTAGGTGTTTAATTATTGTTGAACTTGTTTGCCTTCATGTTAGAGATCATGCTTAGGCTTTATTCATGCTCACATTATTTGTACTCAGTCATAGAAATTATTGTACATATTTACCTCAGTCTCTATTATTTTGCTGATATATTATGATACTTGATGTGGGCTGTGTCCCCTTATTGGTGGTGCATTATGAGGCTGGAGAGGTACATGACTGAGTGAGGCCGAGGGCCTGGTTGTGAGGATATTAATACCATAGCGCGTGAGTTGTCCGCGTAGCATGTGAGTTATCCGCATAGCACGTGAGTTGACCGTGCAGATCCAGGTATTGATATTATGGCACGTGAGTTGTCCGTGCAGCACGTGAGTTGCCCGTGCTTAGCGCTTGGGCTTTGGGAGCCCCTCAGGAGTCTATACACACCCCCAGTGAGCGCAGAGTGTTGAGTGTTGAGTGCTGAGTGCGAATGATGAGTGATGGAGTGACACTGCTGTGAGGTTGTATTTATTTGTGTTGTTGCTGCATTTATCTGTTAAACTTCTTTGTGGCATTTACTGAGTTATAGAATTTACCTGTTTATTTCAGTTTATTTTTAAATTGTGAAAATAAATAATTGGACTGTTTTACTTAGCTCGTCACTACTGCTCAGTTCTTTAGTTATTTCTGTTACTTGCTGAGGTGGTTGTACTCATGCTACACCCTGCACTTTATGTGTAGATCCAGGTGAGTTAGATCGCGGCGATCGTTGAGTTCAGGCCGGCTATCGTTGGAGACTGCAAGGTAGCTGCTAGCGACCGCAGGACCTTATCACTCCTTTTATTATTTCTTCTTTTGGACTATATTGATAGTTAGACAATTTTATTTCTTAGTTCATAGATTTAGACGCTCATGATATAGTGACAACCCGATGTTTGTGGCTCGTTTTCGTATTTTCTATATTATATTTAGAGTTGATTTAGTTTATGAGAAATTCAAATGTTGGTATTGTTTTATTAAATTCTTATAATCGGTTTAGTAGTAATATTTTGGGAAGTAGGCTTGCCTTGTAACACGATAGGTGCCATCACGATCATGGTTAGATTTTAGATCGTGGCATCAGTGCTATACAAATTGATATCAAAAGTCATCACGGCAAGGATGCAATATGTTATGAATGACTTAATTGATGGCAGCAAGGCAACATTTGTACCATGAAGAGACATAGCTGACAACATTATACTCAGCCACGAGCTTGTTAAAGGCTACGACACGAAAGGGATGTCACCTAGATGCATGCTAAAAGTCGATTTACAAAAAGCATATAATTCTATTGAGTGGATCTTTATTGAACAAGTACTACAAGGAATGCAGTTTCCAACAAAGTTCATTAAATGGATCATGGTCTGCCTGCAAACAGTGTCATATTCAATTATAATCAATGGGAAACCTATGAAACCATTTGCAGCTAGGAAAGGATTGAGACAAGGGGACCTTATGTCACCTTTCTTATTTGTACCAGCTATGGAATACTTCAGCAGAATGCTGAAAATAAGGTTGTGCATAATTTGGTAAATATCGAATTACCGTCCTGAAATTGAAATTTTTGGTATTTGATATTCGATATTTTGGTATTCGGTATGGTATTTGATTTAAGTTTTAAAAAAAATATAGTATTAGGTATAATATTTGGTATTTTATAATAAAATACCGAAATACCAATACCGTACTGAAATATATATTATATTACACAAAACACATATTATTAATTATAATATAAATATAAAAAAACTAAAATTTACTTTCTTTTATTCTCTAAGTTCATTAATCAACTCTAAGAAAGTAAGAAGATATTTCTAATGATCAAATTTATTCCTTTATATGCATTTTTCTCTCTGTAGGTTAATATTTGCTTGTTTTGGACAAAACTTTTATCAACAACATTTTTGGTTTTGTACTTTTGAGTATTTTAATTAAGAATATTATAGTTTATGGCAATATGTACTTGTTAGTATTTAAACCAAATAAACTGAAGTTACCAAACTGAATAAATCGAAACCGAAAGGAGAAAAATGAACCATACCGGATTTAATTAGGTACGGTATTGGTATAGCATTTTAAGAAACTGAATACCGATAATACCGAATCGAAATATCTAAATACCGTATTGTACCGACCGACGAACATCCTAGCTGAAAAGAATGGCCAAAAATCCAAGATTCAAATATCACCCCAAGTGTGCCAAAACGAAGATTATCCAACTGGGATTTGCAGACGACCTACAACTATTTTGTAAAGGGGATATGCAGTCTGTCCAGATGTTATTCCAATGCTTTCAACACTTTTAAAGAGCTTCAAGACTCATTGCAAATCCTAGCAAGAGTTCTATCTACTTCTGTGGGGTTAAACCTGTTCTAAAGCAACAAATACTCAACTTGTTGGGCTTTTCATTTGGAGAATTGCCAGTTAGATATCTTGGTGTGCCCATGAGTTCTAAAAGGTTGTCCAGCACTCAATGCCTACCATTGCTAGAAAAAATACTAGGAAGAATAACCAGTTGGACTTCTAAATTTCTATCATATGCAGGGAGAGTGCTACTAATCAAAAGTGCCATGTTCTCAGTCCAAACATTCTGCTCGCAAGTGTTCGTGCTTCCCAAGAAGATCATAAAACTGATCACCTCGACTTGCAGGAAATTCTTATGGATTGATAAGGAAGGATTAAACAAGGCACTGCTAGCATGGGATATTCTGTGCCAACCTTAATCTACAGGTGGCGTGAACTTTACTGAAATGGAGGCGTGGAACAAAGATGCTATACTTAAACAATTTTGGAATCTATGCAAAAAGAAGGACAAACTGTGGGTCTTATGGGTTCATGCCTACTATTGAAAGGAAGGACCAATCTGGGCGGCAAAATATAATCAAGCATCATGGTGTGTCCAAAAGATCATTAAGGCAGGCAAGTACTAGGAGCAATCTGGCATCACCTTGACTGAATTCCTAGGAATAGGAAAGTTTTCCATCAGGAAAATGTACAGGAAGCTCGGGGGGGGGTTTATGACAAGGTACCCTGGAAGAGAATGATATGCAACAACATGGCTGCTCCAAATGGATTTTCATCCTCCGGCTAGCTGCACATGAGAGACTATCTACACGGGACAAGCTAACTCATTGGGCATATTGCTGCACATGAGAGACTATCTACATGAGAGACTACTTTGTTCTTTGAATGTGAAGTAACCTCTGAAATATTGGGTAAAATGCTGGAATGGCAAGGAATCCAAAGACAAACACTGAGCTGGAAGGATGAACTAGCATGGGTTGTAATGCACTATAATGGCAAGGATTCTAAGTCGGAAATCTACAT